CTAAAGCTGACGAAGTGATAACTAACAACAATTGTAGCGTATAGAAAATCACAAAATACTGCCATGTGATAGTCAGTAAAGCGCAAGGAGATCGCGATTAGCTAACAACATATACGACGTCGTAATTGAACTGAAACCATTTCAACATTGCTAGATTTCAGCCATTTAAAGGAGGAGAAAGTGATTTACCGATGAGGAGATATTCCACCAGATGATGGAGCCATCGGAACCGCCGGTGTAGAGAGTCGGAGGATTGTTGAGTGCGGCGACGGCGGTGACTTTGTGAACCGGCGGTGAACCTGACCATATACAGGCTATGGATTTACACTTCATCGACTATACGGAACGGATCAAGCCTATAATTTCCAAATGAAGTTGAGAAAAATTGGGATTATTTTGGGGTAGAAGGTGAAGTCTGCAATATTGCAGTTACTTTAAATTAAAATGTTATAAAATATTTATTTAATTATATTTAGATAGTAACTATTACATATATAATATTATATATTATACAACACTAAGAAAACCCAAAAATTGTAGTAAATATTATTCATACAATTAATAAATCAGTTAATAGTAAGAGACTATATACATTTAATCGTATGTTATTAGTATATGAATAACTTGGACGTTTAGGCTTCTCCTTATAGTTCGTGAAACATGTATTTTGAATTCTCATAGACTTAATAATGTATATTTACTATTTCTTGAACTTTGTATCACTTCTTTAGTACTTAATTATGTTTATTTAATGTCAATTTTTAATTGCTTCATCTTCTGATCTTTATTGCAATATTAACTTTTGAAATGTCAATGTACACGTAATCAATCAAGGATTTATTTTCCTAATAAAATATACCCAATTTATTTATTCATTTTCTCCATACACAAAGAGTTTAGAAGCTATAATCATGATTTAGTATAATTGAGCTTTTGATGATTTAGTAGTAAACCAGCATGTAGTGCTGGGCGTTTGGTTGATTCGGTTCGATTTTTCGATTTTTGATTTGGTGAAAATATTAATTCGAACTAAACTAAAATAAATTCGATTTGGTTCGGTTTTGACAATTTCGGTTCGATTTATCTTTTTCTGATATTATAAAAGTAATAAATAAATAAATAAATTTTAAAAATAGTGGACAAATAAAATTGAAGGGATAATATAGTAATTTCAACAATAAATAAGAAGACACAAAATTTTACTCATAAATCGCATTTACTGAATGCGTTTTTTGCCTTTCATTTTCAGCTCTATCTATTTTAGTATTTGAGAACGGTTTTTCAAATTTTCAACGACATGATGTTTTTATAAAAGATAAATTATTTATCTTTTCTTGATATTATAAATGAAATAAATAAATATATTATAAAAATAGTGGACGAATTAAATTAAACGGAAGGGTAATGTAGTAATTTCAACAATAAATAAGAAGACACGAAATTTTACTCATAAATCGCATTCACCAAATGCGTTTTATGCCTTTTATTCTCTGCTCTTAGGGTTTTTTCAAATTTTCAATGACATGACGTTTTTTTAAAAGATAAAATATTTAGGATAATATAAAAGTAGTAAATGAAATAAATAAATATATTTTAAAAATTATGGACAAATAAAATTAAATGGAAGGGGTAATATAGTAACTTCAACAATAAATAAGAAGACACGGAATTTTACTCATAAATCGCATTCACTGAATGCGTTTTATGCCTTTCATTTTCAGCTCTTTCTATTTTGATATCTGAGAAAGGTTTATCAAGTTTTAAATGACATGACGTTTTTTGAAAATATAAAATATTTATCTTTTCTTGATATTATAAAGATAATAAATCAATATATGATAAAAGTATTGGACAAATAAAATTAAACGGAAGGGGTAATATAGTAATTTCAACAATAAATAAGAAGACAAAGAATTTTACTCATAAATTGCATTCGCCAAATGCTCTTTATTCCTTTCATTCTCTGCCCTTAGAGTTTTTTCAACGACATGACGTTTTTTGAAAATATAAAATATTTATCTTTTCTTGATATTATAAAGATAATAAATTAATATATTATAAAAATAGTGGACAAATAAAATTAAACAGAAAGGGTAATATTGTAATTTCAACAATAAATAAGAAGACACAAAATTTTACTCATAAATTGCATTCACTGATGCATTTTATGCCTTTCATTTTAGCTCTTTCTATTTTGGTATCTACAAAAAGTTTTTCAAGTTTTCAACGACATGACATAAATTTTTTAAAGATAAATATTTTATCTTTTCTTGATATTATAAAGATAATAAATCAATATATTATGAAAATAGTGGACAAATAAAATTAAACAGAAGGGGTAATAGTAATTTCAACAATAAATAAGACGACACAAATTTTTACTCATAAATCGCATTCGCCAAATGTGTTTTATACCTTTCATTCTCTGCTCTTAGAGTTTTTCATGTTTTCAACAACATGACGTTTTTTAAAAGATAAAAATATTTATTTTTTCCTGATAATATAAAAGTAAATGAAATATATAAATATATTTTAAAAATAGTGGAAAAATAAAATTAAACAGAAGGGGTAATATAGTAATTTCAACAATAAATAAGAAGCCACGAAATTTTACTAATAAATCGCATTCACTGAATGTGTGTTATGCCTTTCATTTTCAGTTCTTTCTATTTTGATATCTAAGAAAAGTTTTTCAAGTTTTCAATGACATGACCTTTTTTGAAAATATAAAATATTTATCTTTTCTTGATATTATATATATAATAAATCAATATATTATAAAAGTAGTGGACAAAATATAGAAATTTCAACAATAAATAAGAAGACACATAATTTTACTCATAAATCGCAATCGTCAAATGCGTTTTATGCCTTTCATTCTCTGCTCTTAGGGTTTTTCAAGTTTTCAACGACATGACCTTTTTTTAATAGATAAAATATTTATCTTTTCCTGATATTATAAAAGTAAGAAATGAAATATACAAATATATTTTTAAAATAGTGGGCAAATAAATTAAACGGAAGGGGTAATACTCATAAATCGCATTCACTGAATGCCTTTTATGCCTTTCATTTCCAGCTCTTTCTATTTTGGTATCTACGAAAGGTTTTACAAGTTTTCAACGACATAACATTTTTTTAAAAGATAAAATATTTTTCTTTTCTTGATATTAGAAAAGATAATATATTGATTTATTATCTTTATAATATCAAGAAAAGATAAATAATTTATCTTTTAAAAAAAGTCATGTCGTTGAAAACTTAAAAAACTTTCGTAGATACCAAAATAGAAAGAGCTGGAAATGAAAGGCTTTAAACGCATTCAGTAAATGCGAATTATGAGTAAAATTCCGTGTCTTATTATTTATTGTTGAAAGTACTATATTACCGCTTCCGTTTAATTTTATTTGTTCACTATTTTTAAAATATATTTGTATATTTCATTTATTACTTTTATGATAGCAGGAAAAGATAAATAGTTTATCTTTTAAAAAAACGCCATGTCGTTGAAACCTTGAAAAACCCTAAGAGCAGAGAATGAAAGACATAAAACGCATTTGGTGAATGACATTTATGCCTTGAAATTAGGCATGTACACATTTTATAAAAATAACAGTCTTTGGAAATGTGGGTTTGAAGATATAAAATTAGGCATGTACAAATTTTATGAAAATAATAGGGGATAAACGTCAACGCACGTTCCAAAAGACTAGTTACTTAGATACACGTTAGTTTATAATATTACAACTATTATACTCCCTCCGTCTCATTTTATGGGCACTTTTCAGATTTCGAGATTCAAACAAATTTATCTTTGACAGTAAGTTGTTCATAGATCTTTTAAATATTTTGAATTATCAATTTTTGTGACTTATAGTACTTTTTACATAGTTTACAAATATATAAATTTTGTTTCAAAAAAATTGAAGATTCCGTGCGTAAATTTCTGATCAAACTTAAACTATTTGACTTTCGAAAAACGAAAAGTGTCATAAAAATTGAGACATACGGAGTCTATAGCTTGGTGCATTCAGACACATGTATCTCGAGATATATGGAGTCAAAACTATGTGTAATTTGTTCTATATACATTGTATCCAAATGGATTCGCATACATCTACGCTACATAACAAATCTCGTGTATCTAATGTGATTCGTATGTATCTAGGATACATGACTATCTCGTTTGTCTCCCTCTTTATCTCGATCATTTACTCCTATTTTAATGTATCTAATAGCGAAAACATATGTATCTTCCTCAATATATGATAAAAAAACTCTTAATAAGTCATAAGATACATAATTATTTGAAAGTATAAGTAGAATTAATATATATGGTATGTATTAATAATTTTCTGTCTTATGTATGACTTTTGCTAATTCTCTTGCCTTGTATTAATCTATCTATTCCAGTAATCTCATTTGCATGAAGACCTTATTGCAATTGGCAAATTTGTTGCTGTTACACATCTGATGCAAGAATGCTTTTGGTTTGAAGTCACATTGCATAACCTCTTGAGGATAATTTTTTCATTCCACTAGGTGGAATATGTGAACTTTTGAATGTTAATTATTTCAGGTTTGGAGTATAACTGTGTGACAAAATGACAGGTGCTCAAAACAGTTCGAAAGGGAGTCTTGGCGGGTTGTAAGATAGTATTCAGCCGGGGTTTTCCAAAACAGAGAAACATAGTCTGAGGAAAATGGCGGAACAACTAGGAGCAAGTCGAAAGGAAGTAGACATGATGAACTACTCTACCTCCAATTTTCATAGTAAAGAAATTTACACAAAAAACAACTGAAAAGAACTCTTATAAAACACAGCTGAAACAAATATAGTGAAGGATAGCATGCCATTTACTAAAATGCATTATCATATCGACGAAGACCAACAATTTGAAAGAAGCTTACATATTACTATCTTACAGGGTCCTAAAACTTCTAACTACCCGAAAGTCTTGCAATTTACAAACTTTCAAACTAAAAGCTAGGAAAAGCACAGCTATGTTTCATTGTCATGGTCAGTCTTACAGATACTGAGATCATCCAAAGTACTGAATTCACCTAAAAGAGATCCATAGTTATCGATGATTGGTAAGCCCAATTTCAGTGAAAATTTGACTGCCCTATTACCTGGAAGTTGCACCCATTCCCCCATCTCTAAATCTTCATCATCCTCTTGACCTTCTTGCTTCTCCCCTGCATTAGAATCAGTTGGCATATCGCTTTGCAGCTCAACCTCCTTTGAGTTCTGAAGATCGAATTTCTTAGACTGATAAGCATGCAAAGCTTCTTCAGCAGTGCCTATTTCGTGAGAATCAATCCTTTCTTCAATTCCACCATTTGATGAATTTGAGATTGGAACATTAATTTCTGATCCACCAGCTGATTCGAGTTCACGATTTTCATTTTCATGTCCTGACTCGACATTGACTAATTTCTCATCTTGTGTAGAATGAGTTTGTTCATTACCACATTGCTGCTTGGCATGGACTAGTCTCTCAAACTCGAGCTTCTTGGATTGATAAGCCTGGGAAGCCTCTTCAGCAGTGCCAAAAGTCCCCAACCAAATTCTTTTCTTACTGATGGGGTTTCTAATCTCAGATGTATATTTACCTGAATCCTTTCTCTTGTGAACCCTAAAGAAACGTGTTGTTGTTTTGTGAGAATCAATTCTTTCATTTCTTCTTCTCATTCTAGCAGTATTTAAGGTTTGATCATGATTAGCCACAGATAAGGATTGCACAACAGGTGATTCAGGCTGCTGAACTTGAGCACAGTCCTTCGGTTTATTCTCCTTATCACCCTGCTGACCTAATCTCTTAAGCTCGGACTTCTTGGACAAATAAGCTTGTGAAGCCTCTTCAACGGTGTCAAAAGTTCCCAACCATACTCTCTTATGCTTAATTCGGTCGGTAATCACAGCACCATACCTCCCTTTCTTTTGCCTTCGAATTCCAATTAAGCTTATCTTGGCTTTAGGATCGCAACTTGTAGTAGTATTACACTCATCACATGATTCTGTGCCATGTATATTATCCATTAGACTTGCGGTTTCTCTAGAAGACTCGAGTTTTTCTCCTGACGTCTTGTTCTTGTGAACCCCAACAATATCTGTTGTTGCTTTGTGGGAATCGATTCTTTTATTTCTTCTACCACCACTAGCAGCATTCAAGGTTTGGTCATTATCCATAGACAAGGATGCCACAAGTGATTCAGGCTGCTGAATTTGATCACGAGTCTCCTTATTACCCTGCTGATTTAATTTCTCATTCTCAAGCTCCGACTTCTTGGAGAAATAAGCTTGTGAAGCTTCATCAATAGTGTCAAAAGTGCCCAACCATACTTTCTTTTGCCTAGTTTTGTCTGTAATCACAGCACCATACCTCCCATTCTTTTGCCTTCGCACTCCAATTAAGCTTATCTTGGCTTTAGGATTGCTTGTACTACTAGTATTACATTGATCAGATGATTCTGTGCCATGGACACTAGCCATTAGACATGAGGTTTCTTTCGAAAATTCAGGTTCTTTCTCTGACGTCTTGCTCTTGTGAACCCCAACAATAAGTGCTGTTCCATGAAAATCAGTTCTTTCATTTCTCATACCCACACTAGCAGTATTTAAGGTTCGAATATCAGCCACAGACAAGGATGCTTGTATAACAGGTGATTCAGGCTGCTGAATTTGATCACAATTCTTCTTTGGTCTATTCTCCTTATTCCGCTGCTGGCTTAATTTCTCATTCTCAAGCTCAGACTTCTTGGAGAAATAAGCTTGTGAAGCCTCTTCAACAGTGTCAAAAGTGCCCAGCCATACTTGCTTATGCTTAGTGGTGTCTGTAATCACAGCACCATACCTCCCATTCTTTTGCCTTCGCACACCAAGTAAGCTTATCTTGGCTTTAAGATTGCTTGTACTAGTATTACATTCATCAGATGATTCTGTGTTGTGGACAACACTAGCCATTAGACATTGGGTTTCTTTAGAAGATTCGGGTACTTCTCCTGACATCTTGTTCTTGTGAACCTCAACAATATGTGGTGCTGTTTCGTGAGAATCGATTCTTCTATTTCTACAACCCACACTAGCAGTATCTAAGGTTTGATCATTAGCCACAGACGAGGATGACAACACAACAGGTGATTCAGGCTGCTGAATTTGATCACAATTCTCCGTGTCCTTATTACCCTGTTGTTTTAGTTTCTCAAACTCAGACTTCTTGGAGAAATAAGCTTGCGAAGCCTCTTCAACAGTGTCAAAAGTTCCTAACCATACTTGCTTATGCCTAATTTGGTCTGTAATAACAGCACCATACCTCCCAGTCTTTTGCTTTCGCACACCAAGTAAGCTTCTCTTGGCTTTAGGATTGCAACTTGTTGTAGTATTACACTCATCATATGATTCTATGCCATGTACATTAGCCATTAGACATGTGGTTTCTTTAGCGGATTCGGGTTCTTTCCCTGACCAGTTCTTCTTGTGAACCTCAACGACATGTGTTGTTTCGTGAGGATTGGTCCTACTCACACTAGCAGTATCCAAGGTTTGGTCATTTCCCACAGACAAGGATGTCTGCTGAATTTGATCAAGATTCTCCTTTGGTTTATTATCCTTATCACCCTGCTGTCTGAATTTTTCAAACTCAGACTTCTTGGAGAAATAAGCTTGTGAAGCCTCTTCAACAGTGTCAAAAGTGCCTAACCATACTTGCTTATGCCTAATTTGATCTGTAATCACAGCACCATACCTCCCATTCTTTTGCCTTCTCACTCCAATTAAACTTATCTTGGCTTTGTTAGATGATTCTATGCCACCATGAACATTACACATCAAACATGGTGTTTCTTTAGAACAAGATTCCATGCAAATAAAGGGTTCTATTTCTTGGAATTTGTGCATATTAGAGCTAAAGCCTTTGAACTCCTCAGTACCCAAGAATGCCCCTTTTTCCCCCATTTGCCATTCATTTACAAATAAGGGCATTTTACCATCAGTTTCTTGTTTGCTTCTATCAGCAGTACTTTGTGCTTTGTGATTTGTGTGTGGTAAAGGAATAGTGGACTTTACCTTATCAACAAAAATCTCTGGCTGCTCAATTTGTGTTACCTTCTGTTTCTTGCTGCTGCTTTCTTCTTCTTCTTTTTCATCTGCTAGTAGTCCTCTTTGATCAGTTTCCATGGAGATTATGTAAAAAAAAAAACAAAAAAACTACAATGTACAGTGAGTTGATAAATTTCTTGATGAGATGAAAGATGGAAATGGTTTTTATTTTTTTGGAAATTATTGATTGAGCATTTATGAGTGTTTTGCCACTGAGTTCTTTCTACAGTAGTAGTACTCCCTCTTCTGTTTTATTTGGCCCCGTAAAAATAGATATTTCATTTTACTTAATGTTACAGTAATTCAAGAAAGTTTAATTGTTTTTTGTTATATTATTCTTAATGTTAGAATAACTACATAAAATAATTATGTTAAATTTAGAGTTTTAAAATATTATAAATAAAAATAGTTTAGTAAAAAAATATATTAAACAATAGTGCCAAGTAATATAAAGTAATATTAAACACTTGGACACATGTTTTTTTATTTTTGTTTAATTGTTGCATGTTGATTGTTACTATACTCTCTTATTTTAGTCAAAAAGGGTTCTACTTTCGATATTGTTGTCTCATTATTTGGTTTAGTGCAAATGAGATTGTAGAATAATAACTTGTCTTTAATGTGCCTTCGTGATGCCAAGGGCATGGTTGGACATACAATTTTTTCCTCTTTCTTCTTAAAAAAATAAATAATGAAATGTTTGGTTATAGATTGCACTTATTGAAAAAAATATATGAAATGTTTGGTTATAGATTGCACTTAGTGAAAAAAAAAATGAGTTTCATGTTTGAAGGAACGATTTTGTAGTTTTTCAAGTAAATATTTTTTTCGCTCACAAAACTTCTATTTATTTCAAGTTATAACTTTTTAAATATCTTTCAATTTTTCCCCTCAAACATCATATTTATTATGTTCAAACGCCTATTAAATCATCTACTCCTCATAGTCAATGGGATGTATTCATAGAGTAGCTGTTTCATAAATGGTTTTCATTTAATTTATGTTGCATCTTACGAACCTTTTGGAGCATGGTTTAAAGATCAATTAATAAGCAAACTAAAATTTTTGTGATAAAATATTAAACCATTATCTAAAATTTCGTAAGTAATTTGTAAATGTGAGACGACAATTCAATATTTTTATCTATGAGATTGAATAATATATGAGCAACTATTTACTTGAGTCTTGTGATATTTGTAATTTCTAAAAATTTGAATGAAAATGTTATGTTGTCTGATAAAGACTAAAAGAAGGTGACTTGCACAGAAGATTAAACCGTAAAAAAAACAACATTAGTACAAAATAACCTTTTTACTTTCTAATGAGGTGAAAAAGATGATATCATGTGTAAAAATTAAACTGAAAATAAGTCAAACTAATAAAAGAAACTCCAATGTGTGTATTACCTTTGATTATACATAGTTTTTTTTTTTTCTTTTTTAAAAATATGAAATGAAGTGTAGAAAAACATCCAAAGGGGGGAATTCTGTCACCTCACCACAATAAGGAATAATAGAAATAGAAATGCTTCATCGAAAAAAATAAAAGCAAGATTCTTCATTAGGAATACATTCATTCTTGGACACAACCTGACTCATGATAATAGGATTCCCGTAAAGTACGATTGTGTAACACTAAATTCACGATATCCTACAACTACAACTTATATGTAGCTTCCCTATCTTTTCAGCTATCCATAGGAGGTCGTAAAAAATTGAAATTATGTTAGGAAAAGTCTTCTCATTTCACAGCCATGACTGAATATTGTATGAGATATTACATAGACATTAACTACTATCTACTGTCTACTGAATCCTAAAACTTGAAACTGTCAAAAAAGTTGTTGCAATTACACCAAGCTAGAGAAATCGTTTTAGTTTAACAAATACTAAGATCATCCAAACTGCTAAATTCACCTAAAAGATATCCAAAGTTATCGATGATTGGTAAGCCGAGTTTCAGGGAAAACATGATTGCCCGATCATCACCTGGAAGTTGCACCCATTGCCCCATCCACAATTCTTCGTCGTCCTCTTGCCCCACCCATTGCTGCTGCTTCTCCTCGACTAGTTTCTGAAACTCGAGATTCTTGGATTGATAAGCCCTTGAAGCCTCTTCAGCAGTTCCAAAAGTCCCCAACCAAATTCTTTTCTTACTGATGGGATTTCTAATCTCAGATGTATATTTACCTGAATCCTTTCTCTTGTGAACCCTAAAGAAACGTGTTGTTTTGTGAGAATCGTTTCGTTTCTTTCTTCTACTACCCAGATTAGGAGTATCTAACGTTTGATCATTAGCCATAGACAAGGATGCCGCGACAGGCTGTTGAATTTGATCACTATTCTTCTTCTCTCCCTGCTGGCTTAATTTCTCAAACTCAGACTTTTTGGAGAAATAAGCTCGTGAAGCCTTTTCAACAGTGTCAAAAGTGCCCAACCATACTCTCTTATGCCTAATTGGGTCTGTAATCCTAGCAGCATACCTCCCACTCTTTCGCCTTCGGATTCCAACTAAGCTTCTCTTGACTTTAGGATCACAATGCGTAGTAGTATCAGATGATTCTTCGCCATAAACATTAGCCATTAAACCCGAGTTAAAGACTTTGGATGCCTGTTTTTTCTCAGAGTGATAAATACGGAAACCTTCTTCATCGGTGCCTATTTCGTGAGAATCAATCCTTTGCTCAGTTCTGCCATTAGATAAATTTGACATTGTAACATCAATTTCTGATCCACCAGCTGATTTCAGTGTAGAATGAGTTTGTTTATTACTACTACATTGCCGCTTTGAATCGACGAGTTTCTGAAACTGGAGATTCTTAGATTGATAAGCCCGTGAAGCCTCTTCAGCAGTGTTAAAAGTCCCCAACCAAATTCTTTTCTTACTGATGGGATTTCTAATCTCAGAAATATATTTACCTGAATCCTTTCTCTTCCGAACCCCAACGTACTGTGTTGTTTTGTGAGGATCACAATTTTTCTTCAATCTATCCTCCTTATTTCCCAGGTTTAATTTCTCAAACTCAGTTTTCTTAGCGAAATAAGCTTGTGAAGCCTCTTCAACAGTATCAAAAGTGCCCAACCAGACTCTCTTATGCCTAATTGGGTCTGTAATCCTAGCAGCATACCTCCCACTCTTTCGCCTTCGGATTCCAACTAAGCTTCTCTTGACTTTAGGATCACAATGCGTAGTAGTATTACACTCATCAGATGATTCTTCGCCATAAACATTAGCAATTAAACCCGAGTTAAAGACTTTGGATGCCTGTTTTTTCTCAGAGTGATATATACGGAAACCTTCTTCATCGGTGCCTATTTCGTGAGAATCAATCCTTTGCTCAGTTCTGCCATTAGATAAATTTGACATTGTAACATCAATTTCTGATCCACCAGCTGATTTCAGTGTAGAGTGAGTTTGTTTATTACTACTACATTGCCGCTTTGAATCGACGAGTTTCTGAAACTGGAGATTCTTAGATTGATAAGCCCGTGAAGCCTCTTCAGCAGTGTTAAAAGTCCCCAACCAAATTCTTTTCTTACTGATGGGATTTCTAATCTCAGAAATATATTTACCTGAATCCTTTCTCTTCCGAACCCCAACGAACTGTGTTGTTTTGTGAGGATCGCATTTTTTCTTCAATCTATCCTCCTTATTTCCCAGGTTTAATTTCTCAAACTCAGTTTTCTTAGCGAAATAAGCTTGTGAAGCCTCTTCAACAGTATCAAAAGTGCCCAACCAGACTCTCTTATGCCTAATTCGATCTGTAATCACAGCAGCATATCTCCCGTTCTTTCGCCTTCGGATTCCAATTGAGCTTATCTTGGTTTCTTCTTCTTCCTCTGTAAGTAATCCTCGTTGATCAGTTTCCATGGCGATTGTTAAGTTAAAATGACAATGTACAACGGTCGGCTATGACATTGAATTGAGGGATTTCATGAATTTGTGAGATGAAAAAATGAAATTGGGATTTGTTTGAATGTCAGAATGAGCAGAGTGTAGTACTACAGCGCCATCGATTTCCATAGTGCACACAGAGCACTATTGTAACTTCCACTTGAAGGCTGACGCGTGTTACTTGCATATTTGTTTGCAAGTAAGGGAAAATGGTCAAAAATATTTATGTAGTATGGGAAAATGTTCGATTTTAACCCCCATTATATTATTCAGTTTCTTAGGTCATCTCCGGTCCAAACATCAAATTTTGTATCCGCACTATTTTAGTGTAAATCAAGTTCAATTCACTGCACCAAATTTTATACCAAAAATAAATATTTTTCTCTTTCTTCATTATTATATTATTACTTCTTATTTCATAAAACAAATTCTTTCTAAAACATTCACTATATATATTCATATTATTTTCTTTTATAGTCGTTTAATATAAAATTATTTTAATACCATAATCTTTTAAATAATATAAATTGCTAGCAAATATTATACATTATACATAATAATGGATAATACAAATAAAAGTGAAATCATTAATGAAATACAATCAAATAAACATTACATAATTGAAAAAATTATTTTAAATTCTACATAAATATTCAACTTTCAAGATCACTACGGTACTCCCATAAATGCTCTATTAATGCATAACGTAGTTCAAAATGAGCTTCTTTGTCCTTTATTTTTTATGTCGAGCTAAAAATTGTTGAAATCGATAATTTTCATTTATTGCCATTTCTACAGTTGAAGTTGGACCTTCCGACACATCTTGAATTGGTGCATTAAGATCACGATCATCCTCAATTATCATGTTGTGCATTATAATATATGAAGCTAATATATCATGTACCACTTCTTTTCTCCAAAAACGTGACGGCCCTGCGATAATTGCAAAACTCCAAATAAGGATTTGGTGTAAAATTTGGTGTTTTGAGCTCCAACCCACACCAATTTTTACACCAAATTTGGTGTGTGAATAGTGTTACACCAAATTTGGTATAACACTATTCATCACACCAATTCACTTTTTGAATATTTTAATATTATTTCATTATACAAACTTTTAATTAAACATTATATAAATTGTATGTTTTAATTAAAAATCTCTTGTATATTTAATTATTTTTTATGTAATATTTTTATAATATTAATTTTAGATATAAAATTTAGCTTTTTTATAAATTAATTTTTCTATATATGACTTTTTAAAAAAATTAAATTTATGTTAATTCTACTATAAATTATAATTGGATATAACTACAATTAACCTTCACAAAAATTAAAAATGCAAACATATAAATTTTTAAACAAATAATACAATGTACTTAAAAATAACCGAAAAAAATAAACATTCAATAAAGTAGTAATTGACATTCACCATGAATTATATATGGTAAATATTTTAGAAAGAATTTGTTTTATGAAATAAGAAAATATAAATGAAATAAGAAATAATAATATAATAATGAATAGAGAGAAAAATATTTTTGGTGTAAATTTTGGTGCAATGGGTTGGAGCTGATTACGCCAAAAATAGTGTTGACACTAAATTTGGTGTAAAATTTGATGTTTGGATTGGAGATGCCCTTAAGGTAAACACCCATTCTCACAAGACACTAACATTTCGATGAGATAAACATCAAGTGACATGTTAGCTCCCCAACTCATTTTATCCCTCCTTTCTGTTTGTTCTTATATCATTAGTATTTTTTTCCGTCATGGGTAAAATTCATTAAATTTACAGATATAAATTCATAACTTAATAAATATAAGAAGTTCAAGGCTAAGAACTTTAACGATTAAATTCATAGTGCTAAAATTATGGATTCACCTCTAACGTAAGATGCCCTTCTCCAAACCTCTAGTCTCAAAGTCTCTTGAAATATCCAAAGGTTAAAATTAAAATAAACATTTATTCAATTTATCTAATTTAATATCAAATACATATTTTTATATCATAGTCACTTAAAGGGGTCGTTTGGTAGAGTGTATAAGAATAATGTTAAATAGAGTGTATTAGTAATGCTTGTATTAGCAATGCATGTATTAGTTATGCTTGCATTAATTATACATAGATTATTTTAATGCATTGTTTGGTTTGATGCATTAAAAATAGTATGTATGGCATTAAAAAAATTATTTACAAAGATACCCTTGACTTTTATGGTGGAAAAGATGTAAAAAGGTTTTGAGGGGTAAGTGGGTCTTTTATCATATTAATGCATGCATTAAAACCATTGCATTGCTAATACCTATAAATCCATGATATTAGCAATGCACTCCTTAATACACAATAGAGTGTATAACTAATGCAAGCATTAGTTATACATAGGTTGAACAAGAGTACCAAACAAGGTACCAATAATACACAAGGCTAATATATGCATTATTTTTTCTAATACACTCTACCAAACGACCTTTAGTCAATAGTCAGTATCCCTCCTTTAATTCAACGAACTAGATATTTATTAATAATCTTGGCATAAGTAACTTATTCACCAACCAAAGTAACTCTATGTTCAAAAAAGGTTTTAAGAGAGTGTCATTGTTCTATGTATAGTCAAGTAGAGTCCTTGCAAACTTGTAATACGTCTTTTCCAACATTTTGTATAGGTCTATATATATATATTAGGAATATTTATATTATATTAAATTAAACAAAATTCTTCTCCAAAAGCACATTCTCTTGGGTTACTAACGGGCAGCCTGAAAAATCATCAAGTGAATGAATAATCGATCATAAAATGCATACTTAACACTACTAACAAGGATTTGATGGTAAGTTCTCTAAAAATCACTGTCTTTGGAGCCTGGAGGATTCAATATGCACACGTCAACATTTTAAAAGAATAGCTACGACTACTGCTTTCCATGCTGAGTTACTATATAGAGAATCCTAAAACTGCAAACTTATCCAAAAATCTTCTTGCAATTTACAAACTTACAGTCTATATGCTATGCGAAATGTAGTTATTGCCTTCTTCAGTCTTACAAATACTGAGATCATCCAAAGTGCTGAACTCACCTAAAAGAGATCCATAGTTATCGATGATTGGTAAGCCCAATTTCAGTGAAAACATGACTGCCCTGTCATCACCTGGAAGTTGCACCCATTCCCCCTTCCATGAATCTTCATCATCCTCTTGACCTTGCTTCTCCCCTGCACTCGAATCTATTGGCATATTGCTTTCCAGCTCAAGATCGAATTTCTTAGACTGATTGCCTATTTTGTCAGGATCAATACTTTGGATAGTTCCTCCGTTAGATGAATTTGAAAATGGAATATCAATATCTGGTGATGATTCGGGCTGAAATGGCTCACATTTTACATTTTCATGTCCTTGCTTGAGATTAACCAATTTCTCTGATTTCAATTGCTTATAAGTACTTTGCTTCTTCTTTTCTTCGACTAATTTCTGAAACTCGAGCTTCTTAGATTGTTAAGCGTGGGAAGCCTCTTCAGCACTGCCAAAAGTTCCCAACCAAATTCTCTTTTTCGTGATGGGGTTCTTAATCTCAGACTGATATCTCCCTTTCTTCGTGCTCTTGTGAGCCCCAATAAGATGGTTTTTTTTTTTTTGAGAATCGATTCTTTTAGCTCTTCCACTTTCACTAGCAGTAGTATCTAAGAATGCCACAACAGACGATGATTCAAGCTGCTGAATTTGATCACAATTCTTCTTCTTCAGTATATTCTGCTTAATTCCCTGCTGGCTTAATTTCTCAAACTCCGACTTCTTAGAGAAATAAGCTTGTGAAGCCTCTTCAACAGTGTCAAAAGTCCCCAACCGGACTCTCTTATGCGTAAATGGATCTGTAATCACAGCTGCATATCTCCCATTCTTTTGCTTTCGGGTTCCAATCAAGCTTACCTTAACTTCAGGATTGCAACTTGTAGTAATATTGTTACAGTCATCAGATGATTTTGTGCCACAAACATTAGCCATTTTAAACACTCTGGATCCCTCTTTAGCAATACGAAAAGCTTCTTCAACAGCACCTATTTCGTGCAAATCAATCCTTTTCTCAGTTCCTCCGTTAGATGAATTTGAGATCGGAAAATCAATTTCCGATCCACCAGCTGATTCAGTCTGAAATATTTCACGATTTACATTTTCATTTTCTTGCTTCACATTGACTAATTCCTCTGATTTCTCAGAATTATATTTCCCTCTCTTGTGAACCTCAACAATACCTATCGTTTTGCGGATTCTTTTACTCTTCTTATTTCCCTGCTGCCTTAATTTCTCATTCTCAAACTCAGATTTCTTAGAGAAATAAGCTTCTGAAGCTTCTTCAACAGTGTCAAAAGTGCCTACCCAGACTCTCTTGTGCCTAATTGGATCTGTAAGCTCAACACCATATCTCCCATTTTTTTGCCTTCGGATTCCAGGTAAGCTTATCTTCGCTTTAGGATTGCAGTTTGTACTAGTATTACACTCATCTGATTCGAGTTTCATCCCTTGCTTGGCATTGACTACTAATTTCTTAGAGCTCAATCCCTCTTTAATGTCCATGTGATTGTGCTGAAAAGGAGTAAATAGGCTTTACCTTTACCAGAAAAAAATCTCAGAAACTCCGGTCACGGCCGGTGAATTGATGAAGATGACCCGTTTAGGGACCCAGTATCAGGGTCGGAGTATTTTTGGTGAAATGAAAGAGGGAAATTGGGGTTTGTTGTAACTGATAACTTCCTTTCTGAACTCACCTATGCATGCAGAGTATACCATCCCTCTTTCCCATATTATTTTTGGCTTTTCGAAATATAAACTATGTGAATTTAATTTAAATATTGTTAATATTTACAATTCAATATAATTTTAAAATACTAATGAAATTGACTCTCGACAATGAAAATTTCACATAAATTGAGTCGGAGGAAGTGATACTTTGGAACTCCACTCGTGCTTCATAGCAAGCCATTTAATGTGTGTTTCTCTCTTCGATAAATATTTATCTCTATCGAGTGTTTGCATCATATTTGACTTAACACATAATTAAGTATTTTGATGAAGTAAGGATATACTATACATAATATATATGCATTTACATGTAATACATTTATTCGTTTTGTGTAGAACACTTGGTACGAATAAATTTCTAATTACCACACTTATAGTCTTGCGATATTATTGGCTCACTCTATTTTATTCCGATTAGTTTATTAGGGGGTATTTTACCTGTGGGACTTTCCGGCACAAACTCAGATTTAATCGGGCTCTATTATGGATATTGAACATTCCTTAAACCTGTGAGGTTCTACAGAAGGCTTACAAAAGACATCTCAAGAATTGCAACACAAATTTAGGACCTCTTAGTAAAGAATGTAGTAGCAATCAAGTTTTTTCTTTATAAAGAAATAATCATTACAATTTTCTCATTTTCTCAAGTATTGTATGTTTACATCAGCTGAATGATGCATAGAATTAAAAAAAAAAAAATGCTCTTTCACAAAATGAATAAAACAAAATGATTTTTTTAGGTCTTCTATTTGTTTAACGTGAATAAGTACATTTTATGAAAAAGACGTACAATTTTAAAAAGCAATTATAAATGGATTAGAAACTACTTCTCTTTATACCTAACCTGTATTTCTTGATTTGAAACATGCAAGGGGTGTAAATTACTGATCATTGGATCATAATACTAATTTCGATATTACTAGTCATCTGCAATTTTTGATAATATTGAGGATGTAGCTCAGATGGTAGAGCGCACTATGTTGTTTTAACTCTTCAAAAATTGTATCATACACTCATGTCAGATTCTTCAAAAATTCATTATCTTTGGTGGATTCAATACACACTCGTCGGCAGTTTCTAATAGTATCATACACTCGTGTCAGATTCTTCAAAAATTCATTATCTTTGGAGGATTCAATACACACTCGTCAGCAGTTTCAAAGAATCCTAGCTACACACGTTCCAAGTTATGGCTGAAATTTTCCTATTGTTTCTTAATTTATTGTTCTTTGTGTTTCTTGGATTTATAGTTCTCTGTTGTGTGGTATTACAAGTTCAAATTTTGCTTCTTCTTTACAAGGAAAATATCAAACTTGACTTATGCCTGCATCACTGATGCTCATGAAATAGTTAGGATGACCAAAAATTGCAAGAAACTTACCTATTACTACTATCTACAGAATCCTAAAACTGCAAGCAAATCCAAAAATCTTCTTGCAATTTACAAACTTACAGTTCCTAAGCTATGTGAAACATAGTTACGTTATCGATGATTGTCATCCTCAGTTACACAAATACTGAGATCATCCAAAGTGCAGAACTCACCTAAAAGATATCCATAGTTATCGATGATTGGTAAGCCCAGTTTCAGTGAAAACATGACTGCCCTGTTATCACCTGGGAGTTGCATCCATTCCCCCTTCCATAAATCTTCATCATCCTCTTGGCCTTCTTGCTTCTTCCCTGCACTAGACTCTGTTAGCATATTGCTTTGCAGCTCGACCTCCTTTGAACTCAGAAGATCGAATATATTAGACTGATAAGAATCAATACTTCGGACAGTCCCTTCATTAGATGAATTTGAGAACAGAACATCAATATCTGGTGATCCACTAGCTGATTCGGGATGAAATGGTTCACAATTTACATTTTCATGTCCTTGCCTGACACTGACTAATTTCTCTGATTTCCTTTGCTCATTAGTGCATTGCTGCTGCTTTGCTTCGACTAATTTCTGAAACTCAAGCTTCTTAGATTGATAAGCGTGCGAAGCCTCTTCAGCACTGTCAAAAGTCCCCAACCAAATTTTCTTTTTAGTGATGGGGTTTTTAATCTCAGACCTATATCTCCCTGCTGTCTTGCTCCTGTAAGCTCCAATAAGATGTGTTGTTGTTTTGTGAGAATTGATTCGTTTAGCACTTCCACTATCATGAGTAGTAGTATCTAAGGATGCTGAAACAGACTGTGATTCATGCTGCTGAATTTGATCACAATTCTTCTTCGGTTTATTCTCCTTATCTCCCCGTTGTTTCAATTTCTCAAACTCAGACTTCTTAGAGAAATAAGCATGTGAAGCCTCTTCAATAGAGTCAAAAGTGCCCAAGCATACTTCCTTGTGCTTAATTGGGTCTGTAATCACAGCTGCATATCTCCCGCTCTTTCGCCTACGGATTCCAGTTAAGCTTATCCTGGCTTTAGGATCACAGCTTGTAGTAATACAACACTCATCAGATGACTCAACGCTATAGACATTAGCCTTTACACATGAGGTTGCTTTAGAAGATTTAGGTTCTTCCCCTTGAGAATCGATTCTTTTAGCTATTCCACTTTCACTAGCAGCAGTATCTAAGGATGCCACAACAGACAATGATTCAAGCTGCTGAATTTGATCACAATTCTTCTTTGGTATATTCTGCTTATTTCCCTGCTGGCTTAACTTCTCAAACTCCGACTTCTTAGAGAAATAAGCTTGTGAAGCCTCTTCAACAGTGTCAAAAGTCCCCAACCGGACTCTCATATGCGTAAATGGATTTGTAATCACAGCTGTATATCTCCCATTCTTTTGCCTTCGGGTTCCAATCAAGCTTACCTTAACTTTAGGATTGCAACCTGTAGTATTGTTACAGTCATCAGTTGATTTTGTGCCACAAACATTAGCCATTAAACCCAAGTTAAACACTTTGGATCCCTCTTTAGCTATACGAAAAGCTTCTTCAACAGTGCCTATTTCGTAAGAATCAATCCTTTGCTCGGTTCCTCCATTAAATGAATTTGATATCACAACATCAATTTCTGATTCACCAGCTGATTCGATCTGAAATACTTCACAATTCACATTTTCATTGCCTTGCTTTACATTGACTAATTCCTCTGATTTCTCAGAATTATATTTCCCTCTCTTGTAAATCTCAACAATACTTCTCGTTTCGCGTATTCTTTTACTCTTCTTATTTCCTTGATTGCTTAATTTCTCATTCTCAAGCTCAGATTTCTTAGAGAAATAAGCTTGTGAAGCCTCTTCAACAGTGTCAAAAGTGCCTAACCATACTTTCTTATGCCTAATTCTATCAGTAATCACAGCAGCATATCTCCCATTCTTTTGCCTTCGAATTCCAATTAAGCTTATTTTATCTTTAGGATTGCAGTTTTTACTAGTATTACACTCATCATATTCAAGTTTTTCCCCTTGCTTGACATTAACTACTAATTTCTTAGAGTCCATGTGATTCTGTTGGAAAAATGAGTAATAAGCTTTACCTTTTATCAGGAAAAATCTCATCAACTCCGGTCACCGGCTGGTCAACTGATGACGATGGTCCGTTTAGGGTGCAGCATTCGGGTCGGACTCTACCATTCGGGTCACTTGGTGCTCAATTGATCAATTTCCATGGCGATTCTGTTATAAAAAAAAACGGCAAATCCATTGGATTGAATGAATTATTTTGGGTGAGATGAAAGAGGAAAATTGGGGTTTTTTGGAGTTCGGAACGAACAACAGTACTTTCTCGCCTCGACTGTCCATGCAAAGTACTATTCCTCTTTCACATACTATATTTTTTGTTTTTTTTTTTAGATTTAAATATATAAATTTTGCTTAATATTTTAATTTTACTCTTTAATAGAGAAGAATTATAATTAATAATATTATCTTTTAATGATTTCACATAAATTGAATCGGAGGAAGTGATATTTTTGAATCTCCACTCACGCTCCATAACAATCAATTTGATGTAGTTGCTCATAATTTCACGTACTTATCGATAAATATCTAATCAAATGTTTATATCAAATCAATTTAATTTGACAAAATTAAGTAATTTAATAAAGTAAAAATATATATTACACAATTTTATAAAATCTTAGTAAAAGAATGTATTAGTGTTCAAGTTTTTTTTTTTCAATCAAGAAAGCCTTGCAATATTCACATTTTCATAAGTATTTGTTTAACATCATCTGAATGACAAGTAGAATTGAGATTTTTTGCTCTCTTACAAAATAAATAAAAGAAAATAGTTTTTTTTAGATTTTTATGTGTAAAAGTGATAGATCTTTTGTAAGAAATTGTTGACACCATGGGGATGTAGCTCAGATGGTAGAGCGCTCGCTTAGCATGCGAGAGGTACGGGGATCGATACCCCGCATCTCCATTTTTTTTCCACACGTACTACTAGCCTAAGTTATAATGTTTGGTGAAATACCGTATTTACGGTATAAGGTCGTCACTTTATTTTATCAAACTAGTAATCTCATAAATCGAGTTTGGGAAGGTCGTCACTTTATTTTATTGGATCAGTGATTTCACAAATCATGTTTGGGAAGGTGATATCTATGCAAATCTTATTTTTATATTGGGTAAAGTTTTAGATTCTTTTTGTTAAATCTCTCCATTCAAAAATAGTATTTTCAGACTAAGTTAGAGAAATATATACGTGAAAAAGTTATGCTGAAAAAGAGTAAAGTATTGACAACAAAAAACGATAGATATAAATAATCAAAGTAAACAAATTAACATCATGATAAGACAGAGGAACACAATAGTAGTGAAATTGATACAGGAAACCAAATAAGATATTTTAAACTAGCGTCATATTCATCGACAGATTAAATTGATAACCGTTAAATTATACTAATTTTGCTAGTTGGAAGTAAAATTTCAAAGATATAGTTGGTGCGATAGATAAAACGAACTAGTCTTGGGATAACTCTTTAGTATCATTTAATCTCTTATTTGGCAATAAAGTTTGAGATAACTTATCTCATGACTAATAATTAGTGTGGGATAAATTATTTCTGCCTCTAGGAGGAACAATAGCCCTTGAATAACTTTTCCCACGAAAAGTTAAAATGACAAAAACATCTCTTCAATCATTTTTATATATTGTTTTTCGCACATTCTACATTACGAAGGATATTTTTATAAAATAACTTACTTTTAAAAAATTATGCAATTCATATTACTTTTAATATGAATAAACCAAACATTCACTAAAAATTAATCTCATCATAATTAAACCCAACATAACTAATTTCATCATGTCTGGTCTTCGAACTAAATAACCTGCAAATGTGCTGGATTAGTATTTCCATATTTTAGTAAACAAAAGGGGATGTAGCTCAGATGGTAGAGCGCTCGCTTAGCATGCGAGAGGCACGGGTATCGATACCCCGCATCTCCATTTTCCATTTTTATTTTATTTTTATTTTTAAGAAAGTGATAATTGAAACATATAAAATTTGATAGAATCTTAAATTATTCACACCAATAAATTGTTATAACTTTTTTATACTTGTTTTCCAAAAAAGAAAGAAAGTTGTAGTGTCATTGTAAATTGTTCTTTTTTAAAAAAAAAAATTGGTTTCCTATCCGGTGTCCGGTACCGCATTGGAGTCCGACTAAATTCGGATTCGCGCCGGAAAGTCCTGTGGATAAAGCGCTCCCTAACAATGACGACTCCGTACCGAAGGTCATTGTAAATTGTTATATTTACTTCATCTACGGCTTTCTGCTAATTAGTACCTAATCACTCTACTAATTTGGATAAAGAAGAAGAAAAATGATTGATAGATCAGAAATTGACTAGTTTAATTTCCATTTTTTGGAGTTTCCAATTCAGCCACCGTCCTTGAATTTGTCTTTCTGAGCAAAAGGAAAACATACAATTAATATGAAACTAGACAACTTTGATTTGATCTCTGTATAGCAAGTATGGGTACACATTGAACTTTGAAAAATATATGTACACATTAGCTCTCGTTTTGGCCATAAATTTTGACGTTGAAACTTTTAAAAAAATTGAGTTTTTGAAGTTGTGGTTCTTAGAATTTGAAGTTCACATGCATTTTATTGGGTTAAAAACAAAAGTTTTGTGAATGCGAAGAAGCAAAGTCCTAAAAATTGATCTGAGCTAATTTTTGAGAACTTGAAAGTGTTTGAAGATCAGATTTCCAAAATATAATCAAATTTATGGTCAATCGCTAGCTAACATGTATCACTTCTCACCAAAGAAAGGTAAAATAGTGATGGTAGTAGTAGTAATAGTAAAAACTAGATCTGCATCAAAGCACATATCAAAAAGATTGATTTTGAGTTTAACTATACCTCTAAGATCACGATCCGGAAAATAATATACTCCTTACATTTTAATTTTCTTAATTATTGTAGAACACTTAACCCCCGTTGCATCTTAATTTTCTTAATTAATGTAGGACAATTAACACTCGTCTACATCTAGATAGGGTTGCCCAAATTCATATAAATAGACAACAATCATTTTCTCGATAAATGTAGGACATTTAAACACTCCCCACACTGCATTACATTTATTGGGGCCGAATTCATTACTTGAGAGACCATCTTTGCTCCTTGGTAAAAGCGCGTTGTTTCAAGTACGCGTTTAGTTAATTTGTCTGGACATCTGTAACATAAATTGCTTTAATATGAGGATTTAACATTAGATAAAAGAAAAATATGATTGAGTTTGATCTTGATATCATTTTAATAAAATAACAAACCTATTGTCGGCTTGCTCATAATTCAACTATAAAAGCTACCTATCTCATATATTAAACGATCACGATATATTATCCAAGATCATATAATAAAGAGACAACATCACATTTCCTCAAATGAGTGATCACTACATAAAATTAATCAACATATATTGAAACAACACTTAGGAGAACATTTGGTCTAACAACAACACCATAGCCATGGCAACTCCAGAATCAAATCCTGGCATTACAACTAATACAAAAACTTCTAATCCAAAAGTAACACCACCAATTACTGCTTGTTTCTTCCTAATTTCTGCCACAACATTTCTTGATTTTGCATCCAACACTTTACATGTTCTGTTTGCATATGACCCTTCAATAATATAAGAATATGTCTTGTCTGATGATGTTCCATGATAATAAACATGTGCAAGTACATTAATATTACTATGTAAAATCTTCATTTGTTTCTTTACACAAAATATAGGCTTCTTTCTTAATGATGATGCCTTGTAATCATGATCTCCAAGTACTTCTCCTTCATATATGAACCAATTGTTGTCTACTATCCTTAGTTTCTGCTAAATCATCCCAAATAAAAGACCGAGTCAGAATTTTTACTAATGAAATTCAAAATATAAAAAAAGTAAACAAGGTATTAAGAAATAAAATTTGACAATTGCTACACTATACTTATCTTTTTTTTTTAAATCAAACTCACAAAAATTGATACGTCCATTATAATTTGCTTATATTCGTAGTTATCTTTTTAAATGACTTAATGATTAAATTTCTTAATACTATTAAGTCATATAAAAGATAACTACAAATAAATATATATTAAAATAAAACTATAAAAGTAAGTTAGTATTTGGCATCCATGTCTAGACTTTAAAGTTTCAATCAGTAAAATACATATCTAGACTTCAAACGCAATTTCAAAAACTTAAATTTTCAACTTTAACTCTATGGTCAAACAAGAGGTTAAGATTGTATCAAGTTGGCAAAATAGAGTTGTTATTTGCTAAGATAGAATTAGTCTACCTAATTAATGGTTGTTGATATTTGTCACACATTAAAAATAATAAAAATAGTTCTTATCTTATGGTCAATACCTTGTAACGTTGGTCATCCAGAAAGAAAAAAGAGAATTATTACACGCATTTTAAAGTATAGCCATAAATCACACAGACAATATACAAATATCTTTTATCCTTCTTTTAATTAGAATCATTCAATATTATAGGGAAAATGGTCTGAAAAATACTTCAATTTTAGTTGAAATTACTGTTATGATATCAAACTTTGGAAATGACTTTTTATCTCTGTACTATTTAATAGTGTATTTTAAAGGTATATATGTGTCTACGTAGACATCATAAATCATTATTTTAAATAGTAATGTGTCCATGTGAGTATATATATACCTTTAAAATACACTATTAAATAGTGCAGGGGTAAAAGATCCTCCATAAAATTTGATATCGTAACAGCAATTTCGGCCAAAGTTAAAGTATTTTTCAGATCCTTTTACCTTTAAAATTAAAATAGTTGAAATTATATTTAAAAAAATAAATATATAGTTTTAACTCTTACCTTATGCCGACATATAGTGAGAATGGGTTTGCCAGAAGCATCCATTAAAATAGTTTGGTCACGTCTACCAGAATAATTATCAACTCTATACACTAAATTTCCATCGGATCCAATAACTGTAAATCCTTTACA